TAATATATCACTTGATCAGGGAAAACTTAAGCTTGTTTGGGACACGATGGTAAGAATTATGGAATCCCAAAGTCTATTGATTTAATCCTTAAAGTATTGATTTCATGATGTCATCACCATCCATCCTAAGAGCCTCGGTGCTGGCTGTACTAAAACACACACAAAACTAAAAATGATGCTAACCTGAATAACAACAATATGCAAGTGGAACTGTATAAATAACTTTCCTAGTGATGGTTTATATTCTAATACTGATGATGTTATCAAAGACACAGACAGTGACTTGTCATGTTTTATCATTTATTTTAAAGAATATTTGGTAAAAAACTAATACTCAATCATGTTATTCTAACAACAAATAGTTGCTGACAAATATAAAAGATCATTTTAAATGTAAATAGATTTAAACAAATCAAAAACATCTTCAGGTACACTGCATACTTCTGTAATAAAAAAAAAATCACATGTGTAACAAACATGAAATCTCTATTTTCCAACATAATTCAACTACAAAAAGTTAGGTTTAAATAGATCTTTGAAATATGGACCTGATTCTTTTGAACATTCATTAGAATAAATGCAGACATTTTGCATGTAGAAGATAGGAGCTTCAGCAGCATTGTATATAAAGCTTTAAAGAAATGTAGTGTATGGTTAAAGGAGCAATATGTAAGATATCTACTGACTTAAATCATAAACCTTACTATATCATCAGACGTTAAGGAAACATGCTATGTTGAAGTGCTGGCTTTTCTGACAACAATGCAGCAGGCAGTATGTCCTTCTAAACTGGATTCTGGTCCTGAATGGTCTGTATTTGTTTTCACCAGAGAAGGTAGGCGGTTTTAAGGCAACCCACACAATTGTTTTAGACGCCCCTCAGTTTGCTGGATATGAGACTAGTTATCACAGCAAGTCGGCAGGTGTTGCAGCGATGGAACGGGCATGCCAATGCATGCAGTTCACTGTACTGTATTCTACCAAGGGCTGCTAGCATTTCAAATTCAAAATAACTTTATTTATCTGTATTTCATTTGTGTGAAATAGCATCAGTGCGCATATAGCTAGACACAAAAACAACAACAGAAACACACCCATACAAGTGGCTCTATTAAAAAGCATGACAAATAGGTCATAAATAATTGTTATAAGCGGTTAAAAGAGTGGTGTTAAAAATAAATAAGAAATAGATCATTTGTTCATGAGCCTGATGGATGTGGGAGCAAAGCTTGACATAAGCATTAACTCATTAATTAATTAACTCATTAATCACGATTCATTAAGGTCTGACCTTTTCTTAAAATCATGATTGATCACATGCTCGTTTGCCCTTTAAGCCTCTGCAGTGTCTCTCTGTAGTCATAGTGATAGTGATGTTTTTTTTTTTTTTTTTCCCAATGGAGAGAGGCAAGAGATGCAGAAGACCAGTGCAGAGCTGGCTAAACACTGAAGCTTCCGGGTCAGGGTTGTGGCAACCTGCGTGCTTATTGGCTAGAGGGGGGAGAGAGCGCTCTCTCTCTCTCTCTCCAACATTTTGAATTTGGATTGCAGCACTCATTTTAAACCCTACGTGTCAGAGTTACATATTGCTCCTTTAAGAACCAACCCTGAGTCTTTGTAAACTACATGTACCCTTCTCATCACCAAGACACACCGCTAATACATACATAATCAAAAGAAACGCAAAAGAAACAACACAAACACAAAGCAGTTATTTTGAACTGAGAGCAAACACCTAAAAATGAAGCATGTGACAACTTTGTAGTCTAATTTAAATCAAGGAAGCATTGCTACACCGATTCCACCTTTTTGTTCAGACAAAGCATATTGTTTCCAACAATGTAATAAAACCATTCACCTTTACAAAAAAGTAACCTCTAATCATGCTGCACACTCATTATTAGATTAAACATTCATTTGACAGTGCAGCTGTGGGATGTGGGTCATTTGTTTGGAGCCTGAGGTCTGAAAGCAAAACTTGCTATAAATACAGTGATTCATGTGTTCCTGCAGCATGGCAAACATTAAGAGCTGACTTACAAAAAGAGACAAAGAGAGCCACTTGGTGGCTAAAGAAAAAACTCAAATGTCTGAGGTGTGAAAGCACACCTGAAGTCTTTTAAAAATGTTTGCTGTATGAAGACAGGTGACGTCAAAGCGTACTCTCATAGGTGACGGGACTTTCATTTTCATCTTCGGCTCCTGCTGCTGTGCCTGGAAAAATTCAGAGGATAGAGAGGCAAAAAGAAATGAGAAAAACTTCAGATTCTATAGTAAAAAATAAATAAAAAAACTGCAGTGGAGAGTCCAATATTCTTGAACTGTAAAAGCAACAACACCCACACTGTGTGAATGTAAAAGACATGAAAGCATGATTGACAGGGTAAATAGAGGCAACCTAAAGCTATGCAAATCCAACTCTACGCAACGGCTATTCACTACTCAAACACGACTACAAGGCCAGGTTTGACTGCAGTGTTCAAGTGTTGCATTCAGAACTTTACCTAAGAAAAAAGCTGATAAATTGGGTTTGACTCGCTCACCACAGGATGAGTTCTTTGGTCTTTGTAGCAGGCGGGGTCCAGCGAGCCCTATGATAAGAGCTCCTATTGGAGCTGTGAGAAGGATGGCCAGCACAGCCACAGTTAGCACATCCATGCCGTACTTCTGCAGCTGCGGGTCGTTCCTGGTCCTGGCAGTGTCCAGAGCTGTGGAGCCTATAGCTGCCTAATGGAAGACAGAGGCAAAGGTGTTTCCTTTATGATCACTCACCATCACCTAAAGGGGAGACTTTTAGTTGTGTTCTTGTGTTTGAGTAGAGCGCAAACACATATTTAAGAGTCGACATACCTGTACTGTGGCTTTGGGCATCCACGCCAGAGCGATGAACACTTTTTCCTTCATGGTAAAGCCCGCACACAGAACACAGACAAAAGTGAACAGGATACGAATCAGCAGGGCGATGAGCAGAGAGGCTATACCAAGACCTAGGTAGAAAAACAGACAAGAGACATAAAGGGGTGTCACATCATATTGACACTGGAATATAACAGCTGTGAAGAAAACTCCCTAACTATTATGTCACCAGTTTTTCTTCCCAAAAACTGAAAGCAAGATGTGGCACAGTAGAGTTGAAACAGAGTAAAAAGCAGTCTCGCTGTGTGATAGTTCTGTTAGGCAATGCTAACGCAGCACGTTGATGTTCTGAAGGCAAGCCAAAAGATTATTTGGTAGTGAGGGCAAAACAACGACAAGTAATTTGAAACAACAATGTGAAGTGATGTTTTCATCGCAGCTCTTTACAGAAATACATTTTTTCGTAGCACAAATATATATATATATATATATATATATATATTTTTTTTATATATTTTTTTTTTTAAGGAGATGTGTGAGATTTCAGACTGACAGGTTCTGTGAAACAGTGTACGAGTTCTGACACAAACTAAGGTTTAAATATTAGCTGGACACAAACAAGAGATAAAACTCTCCAGAGGGGGCTTATGTTTGACTACGCAAATATATTTACATCCTCACAGTCACATTTGAATGAGCAAGAACAGCCATCTCACTGGATTTATTTTTGAAGTGTTTGTGCACTCATGGGTGTGGTCGTCTCACCAACTGTATGTGCCTCCAACTCAGAGAGTCTGATCTCGGCTCCTATCAATCCGAAGAGTAGAGGCTGAAAAACGTCCCACGCCCACCCTACCACTTCTTCCACACGAGCCTTTAATGCAAACAAGACACAGAGAGAAGGGTCAGCGTTGACATGCAGCAGTGACGATGTTCAATCACTATTGTACTTTTAATCACACATTATAGAATGTGCTTGCTTTTTGAGGTGAGCTAACTCCATTTTAGATTTAAAATACATGATTGGGAATATAAAAAAAGATTGTTATCACCTTTCCTCCACCCCAGCCGAGGCCAGCCAGGAATGCAAGCACCAGGGTGCAGAGGCCTCCAGAGCCAGGGAACCCGACCACTGCACTGCCAAACACGGCAAAGACAGACAGGCCCAGCACTAAGAAGGATCGCTTCATTACTAAATGTTTCTAAGTGAGAAAGGAAAGGATTAGATACAGAAAGTCAAGAAATCTATAAATAGAAAAAGCTGCACAAAACAGTTCTAAAGTATCATCAGGTGGATGATGACATTTTATATATAGTGTTGAATGTTTTTTTATGTGTTCGGATTTTTTTCTTGTTTAATATCCTTGCATATGTATAAGTAAGAGTTGAGTTTGTCCTTTCATATCAGAAATGAGATGACTTGTTTCACACACAGGCTGAGTGTCACGTGGTGCAAGGATGAGTAAGAAGTATTCAAACTGTCTACTGTAGTTGGAGGAGATGCAGTAAAAAAAATAATAAAAAAAAAGTGTGCCTACCTGGTCAACACTGGGAAAGTACTGAATGAGGAAGCCAAGAATAATCCCAGCAACCATCCCACCAGCCACCTCCATTACACCTCTCATGAGGTTGTACCAAGTGGAGCCTGGAAGGATCAACACAGTATAAACATACAAAAAAAAAAAATCACATTTAGCCGAGTCATCGTCCTGTTTTATTTGGTGCTTTTAATGCAGTTAGGTGAATCCCTTTAGAGGTAAAACTGCAGCCATGCTGTCTATATGCATTGGCAAAAAACAAACAAAACAAAAAAAAACAGCACACTAACACCCTCTGCTGAGCTTCTAACAAACTACAGACGTAAAGAAAGAACTCATTTCCTGTGTGACCTCCACTGTAGGTCACTGAACCAGCTGCCACTCCCCTGGAGATAAGGTCGATTGTTGATTGTGTTTCAAATAAAAGAAGACTAATTCACCTCATCACCCCGGCACACAACGCCAACATCAACAGCCTCACCTGTGGCAAAGGCCATGCCCAAGCATGTGGTGAACCCCGTGATGGCAAGAATGTCGTCGAAGCTCCCCGCCGCCATCAGCAGGGTGGGGATGCCCTGCTCCACGCCGTAACCATCCTTCTGCAGCTGCAGCATGGAGGGAACCACCACGGCCGGAGACACAGCGCCCAGCACAAAACTAGAATGTGGAGGATATGGGTCTTTGAGTAATGCAGACAAAGACGACATAAAGAAAATACTTTGTAAAACTTCGGAGAGCATGTGCCCTTGATATTGCTTGGAACACATTTTCTGAGCTGCAATTTTAAGGCCCAATTTCCTTTTTTTTTCCAAACACAAACATTTTCTCTAAAATTTCAAAGAAACCCCTCCCCCACCAAAACAATGACTTTTCAGATGGCTAATAGTGACATATTTCTGTAATATGCTGACCAGCCTGAAATAAGACAGAAAGGCTTACTAAGTTGTAATGTGATCTAGTGACTCTCGAGGAGCAGTGTTCATCATATCTGCTTTATGGGAACATGTTCATTCACGTTGTGCACTGTTGCTCCTACTGATCATTAAAGTTCAGCCTTGTCTTTCTTGTTTCTATCTCCAGACATTCTCACTCATAGTATCTGCTTCACATGAGTGAACTGCTTCTGACCTATGAAAACTCAAAAGTGGCTCACACAGCCCTTAAAGCAACAACAGGTCACTTTGTCACCTCAGTTAATACGTTTCAAAGTCGATCAAATAGTGCAATAACTTTTAACAGGGAGAATGGCGTATAGAAAAGTGAACGGCTTTATGACACTAGTTCACACACCGGCCTTCAGCTCAGAATGAATTTGCCGGTGCTCTGTGGAGGCGTGCTGTGCGAAACAATAGCAGAGGCTATCCTTATCTCCTTTCAAGTAAGGCTCCCAGTCCAAAATCACCCTTACTGCATTTACACTGCGAGGAAACAGGAAGCAAGTTTTGAGAAACTCTCTATAATGAAACCTTTATTTTTGTATTTTAGAGGAAGCATTTCTTTGATAGTCAAAAAGCCCCTCTTTTCCACCCTTTGCTTGTCAACAAATGCACGCTGTCTATGAAGGGGATGTCTAAGAGCACTGTGTGTGTTTTACAGCAGTGCAGTTTCAATGAGACCTTCAGTGAGCGTTCAAGCCCAAATTCCTATATAATGTTGCTTTAATGGAAAAAAAGCAGTGAAGGAGGAACTACTGATTTTCTTTCTGTTAACAAATGAAAAGACGCTTCACCTAAAAGACACAAGGTTAGCATGAGATTCTGATTATTTCATACTAATGAATAAAAGGCTTTGCCATATGTCACACTCACGTCTCACCCTGTATATTTCCTGTTCTTTAACAGTTTAACCACAAAGAATTGTTATGACATAATGTTGACTTTGAAAGTGTGGCGAAAGGAGAGTAGACAGAGTAGGCAATGCTGTAATTACCCGAGGATGAATCCCCAGACCCAGGGCAAGCCCATGAGGAAGTGAGAGACCAGCGCTACGCTGCATGCCTCTATGATGCAGGGCCCGGCTGCCACACGTGCACAGACGGATTTCAGTTTCTTCAGAGCCTGAAACCACAAACATCATTCATGACTTGATACATGGTTGCAGAGAAATAAAGTTGTTCTTCAAAGCAAAAATATCACACATTAATTAGTGGATGGGCAGTAGCCACCATTCAAATTGTATTATTAATCGTTTTTTTTATGACTGAGGATCAGGTTAGTTAAGCAAATTTTGAAGATATCACTTGAGACTCTGTCCAGTTCTTTACTGAGATTTAAACCTTACAGAGAACTTGTGCAGTTAAAGATCTAACAGTAACTTAAAACATGATCAATAACAAAAAAAAAGAGAACAGCTTCAGCCCTAGTAATGACAAACAAGCATATGTGGACTCTGTGGCGTACCGTGGGATCCAACCCTAAACCAGCTCTGGCCAGTATAACAGCCAGAGCGACGTTCCTCAGGGACGCAGACCACCTGAAGTCAATGTACACCCCATCTGTTATGACTGGGATGTTCCTCAGCAGGAAACCCATCAGCAGCATACCTGCAACACAGCAGAGGGCATGAGAGAGGAGAGATGATCCTTCAGGGCCGACACAGATTAAAGAACAAGAATCACAGAACAGATCTCCCCTCGCTTTTTTTTTTTTTTTTTTTTTTTAAACTTACAGCGCTCATGTTTGATGCCTGAGATACTGAGACTCACTGAGGGTGTTTTATACCACTAAAAACTCAAACTTATTTCATCTGTTAATTCAAATATCAGAGCATGCAACTTCTTTGAAAATATTACATTAAATGAGAAGACACAAGTTAATGACTTCATGTTTAGACATCTGGATGACCGATTTCTTCCACTATTATATCATCATGCAGAAAAAGGTATAAAAAAATCTGTCTTGATTGAACTTCAAACTACTTCTAATTTGATTAGTGACAAAGGAGTGGCTCCACATCCCTGATTTGAATCTTGTTTTTGATGCAACTGGAGGCTCATGGTCCTAATTTTAAGATTCAGAACTCAAGGAATTTCACTTTGTATTATAATTCAACTGTTGTCATTTCTAAATAGAGGACATTTTATCTATCGTATGGTCAAGGCTTTTGATTTTTACATTCATTCATTATCTTGCACAGTCTCCAACCCCTATAAAAATGTCATAAATACAATCATTAACAATCGTATCGCAAACGTTAATAGCTAATAGAGACAAAAAAAATAATAAACAAAATCTTAAGCAAGTATCATGCTTGTACTGTTAATCATGAACTTCCTTTGTTACACTTCTGTGAATGAACATGCCCATGCCATAAATGTTTGTAATAATCATAAAGTCTGCATACAGATACATCCTCTGTGGATGATTCAGAAATGGAAAACTATTTACTGCAATTCTGTTAAAACATGAAAAAATGACTTGACTTTGACTTTCGTGCAACTCCCTGTTCTGACATAAACAAAAAAATCGTTCTTTGTACTGTACATACAGAAGGTTTCCCATCTGGATCTATATGTAGGTAACTGTACATTGTACTTTACAAAAACAACTTAAAAGGCACCGGGAGCAAACTGGAGACAGTCAGCTTTTTTTCTTTTCTTTTCTTTTTGCTGAGGCTAGCCTTTTAGGATCATTCTTGGGTGAAATGTTTAGTAGATGAAGAGAGAGAGTTTGGAAAACAGAAAGTAATGTAATGACTATACGAAGCACCAATCACCACCTAAACCTGCAATTTTGCTAAAAATGCTCTCTGATTGGTGCTGAGATGTACGACTGCTCCGTAAGGTGGTAAAGGACCAGCCATTACGTCATCCAATTGTTTTTGAGTAGTCATTTGCCTTTTTTAATAAGCAGTTTTATTTCTAATGTAGTGTGGCAAAATATCCCCCCCGGTGGAAACCCGTGTGTCATTAAATATAAAATAAAGGCCTGTACAAGCACACAGAGCACACACATTACATCTTCTTCCCAGCCTTACCCAGGAGTGGGGGGAACGGGGGAAGTTTTGGCAGACGGATGAGAGCCACCACTTTCCCACCGATGAGCGAACAGATGAAGAGGATTGTGATGCCAAACAAGTTTCCCCCCGGAAGACATTCTTTCTCTGTGATGGACCACACCACTCCAAAGAGCACAGCTGCCAAAAGGACTGGAGGAGACACAGAGGACAGACATTAGATTGGATTGCCCTGGTTGATTTATTGCCATTTATGATGAACATGTTGCTATACATATTTTGTTGTGCCATATCAGTCAACCTCTCAAACCTCTTAAAAAAGAAGGTAACTCCTAGGATCACATTGTTGATCGTCTCATAATAAAAACACAAGTATTATCAGTGAGAGAGTACTTAAAGGCATACTCATGTCATGTGCTGTTTTTCAATCTTGTGTGTATCAATGTCCGGGTCTGGGACTCACCAAGCCCAGTCTGAGTCTCTCTTGATTTACCTTTTGTAATGAGAGAGGCCAGAAGGCCTCTTGGTGGACATGGGCAAAATCTGTGGAGCAAGGGGCAGCAGACGACAGGGGGGTCCGTGTTGGTGCCAGCATCCACAACAGGGTTTCGAGGGAGAAAATATGTGGTCTCCTCTGTGACATTTGGACTGGAGCATCTCCGTACCACCACCTGGATCTGATTCACACTCAAGTGCTGGAAAAGGAGAATCAGGTCAGTAATGATGTTTGCCTCGGGGATATTATTTCTTTAAGATAAATGACTGTAAAGGCCAAACATGAACAAACAAAACAGCAATATATTGCAATTTTCACTTCCTTCAAAGTAACTATAGCCAGCAGTAATTACATACAAACGGCCTTTATTATGTAGGCCTTGCAGAGCAGTCAAAAGAAATTAATATCGTAGGCAGAACAACAGATCAAAAGGTTCAGACTGAATCAAATATTAACACATTCCTTATTGAATAATATAAAGGCAAGGCAACTTTATTTATGTAGCATATTTCATGCACAAAGGCGACTCAACGGGCTTTACAACTTGGAAAGACTGATGGATGTCTCTGTCACCTTTTTATTTCCAAACTTCAGTTGGTCTTTCACCCTATCAGTATTGTTTAAACAAAGGTCATACAAGGCTCAGTTTCTTGGCGAATAATAAGATAAAATATGAACTTGCTCAAGAAGGTGATAACTGCAACTGAACAACTCCTTTGTTATATTGTTCGACTGAGTACTCTGGCTTAGTCTTTTACTGTATTTTAATATATTTTGCACATTAGAATGTGAGCAACAAGTGATGAGCAAGTTATCTTAACGAGCAAAATCATTTACAAGCCTAGAGAACGGTTAATTAACAACACATCGGTATTAAAATGTCAGAATAAAAATAAGCTGGCTGACAGAAAAACAGAGCAACAAAAAAAAATCACCACTTCATTCATTTGTAGATTTAATCACATTAAATTTGCTGCCAGGCAAATGAACACATTTAAGTTTTTTATCGCAATTCTGAATCAAAAGGTACACATAAGTATAAAAGTTAGAAAAACTTTACCTCCACATTGTTTGGTGAGGGCAATGCAATCCTGTCCAAGAGTGGGCTGGGTGCTGGACTGGGTGCTGGACTTGGTGCTGGAGTGTGTACAGGGCTGGGCTCCGGGGTTGCAGGTTTGGGCTGAGTTTCCTCCATGACAGTTGGCAGCAGTAATTCTAGTCCACTCTCTTCTCTTTCACAGTACATCAAGCCGATGGGTGGGGTTGGCCATGGATGGGCAGTTCCTTCACTTCTGGGTCTACCTTTCTAGCTTTGTCCGCAGGCTCCTGTCCATAACACAGATACACAATACAAAAAGAAATTATTTACTTCTATTTCTATTTAAGTCTTTAAATTTGGCATGAAATTGGCATGAAATTATACATTTGATTTTACCCCACATATGCCTCTATTGTTTTGTATTATTTCAACAAATACTGAATTGAATTTGAAAAAGAGGCGTTGAAGAGGGAAAGTAGAACAAACCCGGCTACAAACCACATGAAGCTTGGTGAGTGTGCCAGATGCAGTTTAAGTGGTAAAACATAAGCAAGTGAGGAGATATAAGGTCTAAAGGTTGATATAAAATGTCTTGCCAGCACTTTTGAAGACATTGCTGCAAGGAGTACCACACCTGTACTGTATCTGTAGTTTTAGTTTGAAGGTTATAACTTACAGTATTTACAGTAGTGGTGCTTTAGGAAGTGGTTATACTCTTAAATGTCCCTCCAAAGGTTTTTGTCTTTAAGTGACCCATCCAGCAGAGGATAGATTGCCTCTGTTATGAACAATAACATGTAAGACTACTCTTGTATATTTAATTAGTGCATAGGCTACTACCCAATTAGAGACAGAGTAGGGACGGTCAAAATTAAGTCGCAAAAAAAGCCGCAAACCCCCCCCCCCCTTCCCATACATATATTAACCCGAAAAAAGATTTAAAGAATACCCCTAGATGAAACAAACTTCAACTGTGCAATTAAAAATGTATTTATACAAGAAATGTACAATCGAGCCATGTCAAGCTTTGCTCCCACATCCATCAAGCTCATGAACAAATGATCTATTTCTTATTTATTTTTAACACCACTCATTTAACCGCTTATAATAATTATTTATGACCTATTTATCATGCTTTTAATAGAGCCACTTGTATGTGTGTGTTTCTGCTGTTGTTTTTGTGTCTAGCTGTATGCGCACTGATGCTCTTTTACACAAATGAAGTTCCTAACAGATAAATAAAGTTATTTGAATTTGAATTGAACCCGTGCAGGGATAAAAAAAAATAATAATGTGTAATTTAAAGCAAGAACCTATAAACAGGTGAGGGAAAAGAAATCTGTAATTAGACCTGAATATAAAAAAATAAAAAAAAGTGTTTTAAAAAAGCATATAGTGCAGAGTTATCAAAAACAAGACATTAAATTAAATAACAGGCAGCGCAAACATTAAATTAAAGGTGCTATTTAAGTAAATTGAGGTGATCATTAAAGTGTCCAACTAGAGCAGGGGTGGGCAACTGGCGGCCCGGGGGCCACATGCGGCCCCCATCAACCCTCAACGTGGCCCTCAGGTCAATTTTTACACATCAATTACTTGGAAACATGAAGAAAACATGACAAAATCTGCCATGAAATCATGAAAACCAGAAATATGTCCATAATAATATTTGATCACTGATATATGTTGAATTAAATTTGAGACATAATTGACTGTAATCGTTTTTTTGGATCCTACAATTTGGCCCCCTGGCGGTGAGAATTAATTGAATGTGGCCCTTGCTGTGAACGAAGTTGCCCATCTCTGAACTAGAGGCTGACTCTTGGGACAGCTGAGCAGATGGGAAATGGGAAAAAAGGAAGATGAACATGTACCTGGGGAAATGAAACATGGCTGAGGACATAAAACAGTGAAGAGTATTTTATTAGGAGACAAATTAAGAGGATATTGAGCTGGGTAACAGAATCACAGGAGGAAGATGTGCTCCCCTGTCTCTTCTCACTCCAGGTGTAACAAACAGGGACTTTCCACTAACACAAAGTAATTGTGTGTAACCTGTTACAATTGACAATACTGTGTTATGTACTGTGTTTTCTGAGTCATTTACAATGAGCTAACTCTACTACAATGTTTTGACAGTCGCTCATGGCAACAGACGCTGGTTAATCCAACACTAATCAATGCTTACAGGTCGACCATATGGCACATGTAGCTAGCTTTAGATCAAGTACGTTACTTGCGGACGCCGGACAAGTTACTAAAGTTAGTTAACTAGCAAACTGCACACAAGTAAGCCGGTCCAACTTGGCATACACGCATATCTACTCAAGCAAGGCGAAGTTAATGTTTACAGGTCGAGTTGTGACGGCGTTTATCGTGAAACGTCACAAGGGACACAGAAAGGCTAAACATTTAGGCTAAGTGAAGCGGCAAAACAAACGCTGTCAGTGGACTAATTATCGGACAACAACGTGTGCTCAGTAGCTACAGCTAACTAACATGTGTAATAATAATAAACAAACTCTTTATGAAGGATTAAATATGAGAATCTATTTCATCTCAAACCAAGTCCCATTAACTATAAACCTCCCCCCCCGTTATGTAGAGGGGTGCTAATGTTGACTAAAGCCACCGGCAGCGTTACGTTAACATCAACCACCGTGGACTACAGATGGACTCTTAAGCGGTGAATAGACCCGGTTAACCACATCGATGGACTCCAGAGAGCAAAGCTGGGTCGCATTTGGCATTCTACTTTAACAGATGTTGAGGGAATAAATCAAATTTCGCAGATAAAATCGCATTGTCCGATAATGGATTCACTGCCCAGGAGCTGTCAGTGAACTCAGCACGACAGCTATATGGAGTGAAACCGCTTCTGACACTCCCCGCAATGTAATATTCAAACCCCCCATTTAAGGATAAAAAAAATAATAAAAAAGCAGCTCACCTCATAACGTAAACATTGTCATCTTCTCCTGTCAGCGGCAGCGTTC